GGTGACAGAGTGAGACTCTGTCTCAAAAAAAAAAAAAAAAAAAAAAAGACTTGTACCTATAGCTGGAACTTTTCATTAAGGACTTATTCATTGGTGCCTTGCTGAGAAAATGATAAATGTGGTCTCAGGGTGTTGATCTGTTACTTGATGGGTTGTCATGCTGAGATTCTAGGATTAGCTTTGAATCTAATGGCTCTAGTGGGAAGTTCTGATTTGTTTATTATTTTTTAATTATTTTACTTCATCAAAAAGAAGTTTTTCTTTTTTTCCAAAAATTACACCGAGGTGTAGCGAAGCTCTAGTTGAGGCAAGTGCGTTAGGTAGGGTTGGCAGGACTGCTCTTACTGTGCACTCATTGGACAGTAGCACAACCCCAGGGAAAGGATGGTGGCTTCTCTGTTGAGTTTGGACAGTACCGTAGGACAGCATCTGAGATCTGCAGAGCAGAGCTGCACAGGCACATGAAGAGCAAATGTTCTTCACCAGGCTTCAGAGGCCAATAAAGGCTTGTTTCAAGTCGTCCTCATCTTCAGCAATGAATTCCAAATCATTTCCTACCCTATTACAAATACTTGCCTACGATATCCTTTGGTGAATAATAGCGCAATTCAAATGACATCTAATCAGAACATCGTCTTCATAATTGATCTGATATTCGCAGGGTCTTTTTTTTTTTTAATCTTTGAGGATGTTTTGTAGCAAGGACCCTGCCTATCAGTTTGAATTAAATAGGAGGAATGGAAATATCAGCGCTTAGATAACAATGGATTTAAAATCAGAAAGTAGATATAATGCAAATGATGGCTTATTTTTAATTTGTGCCTCTGAGAAAAAGATTTTTATCATGGTGCAAACAAAACTGGTGTAAGTTATTAAATGCATTATTTAAAACTGGATTGTTTTCTCTTAATGAATTACAAATATGTGTATTTGCGGATGATATTTTGCCTGAAAAGTTTTAAATAGGAGTTGTACATTGTTTTTCCTCTTTCTTTATTGTTCAAGTGAAGATTCTCATGGCATGCATGCAAGAATTTGTGGAAGTTTGGTTGTGATCTGCATTTTGTTTTAATTACTCCTTTTATGTAGAAAGTAGCAGACACTTGGACCCTCTTAGATTTTGTAAGTGATTGATAGAGATGCCAGTGTTTTTTGTTTAAATGGTTCTTTATTCCCCTCTGTGATAGTGTAGATGAAAAGATGGGACTCAGGACTGCTCTGAGACATTGGCTGCAACAGGGACATAGCATTGATGATAGCAAGATGGTAAACCCGCTTCCAGTGCCCTGAGCGTGTTTCTCTGTTGTTCTTTTCCATGTTTAACAATGCCAGAAGGGAGATGATTTTGGCTTGCTTAGAAGAGAGACAGAAAAGAACACACACACACACACACACACACACACACACA